AAAATTATTACATCAAGATATTACAGGTAAAACAGAGATGAAGCACGATAAACAGAAGTAAGAGCATCTCAAATTGGTTTTATTTTTAAATAGTTTAGAACCATGTGTTATTTCATTTGAACACTAAGTTAATTTTTTGGGGGTTTTTTTGCTGGTGTAGAGTGTGTCCGATTTATCTGATGCGTTTACTCATCCGTCTTACCAGTTGTCTTTATCTTCCCTTTCCTCAGCATGCTTTCACGCCTTGCACACTTCATCCTAACCATGCTGTATCTTGTTCCACCTTACCCTTAGGCTACACAAATCAAACCAATGGTTGGTCCCTCCCATTTCCCTCACTCTGATTATCTGAATTCAGCCCCAAACAAAAATGAAAGCCACCACTGCAGCATCATCCATTTCAAAACCCTGCATCTTTTTGCTTCACTAAGATATCCCACTGTGCTCACAACTCTCCAGAGCAGCCAGGTAATTTTGGTTAATGGAAAATTTTCCCCTTTCCAATATCCGTTTTACTGTTCAGTAAATGCACCCACATCTTTAATTACATTGCAAGCTCTTATTTCAATGGCAAGGCTTACGTCTTCTGGAAAAAATACCTGTACATTGAAAGATCTACTACCTGCTCTCCAGAATAGCTTGCTCCACACAGGAGGTCTTCTCTCTGCAGGACATCTCCAGCGAATGTTGGCTCATTGCAGACAAGAACTTGAGGATCAGCTTAGTGCTTTCTGTCTTACCAGCACCACTTTCGCCACTGAAAGAGGAAGAATAGGAAAGTGTTTGCACAGTTTCAGCTGCTAGACAAAAAGCCCTTGGTCTGGCCAGCCCTCCAAACTCTAAATTACTGGAGGTTGAGAAGTCTGGAGTGATTAGAAATGATACTGCGGTGGCAGCAGAATACCCCTTGAAGCTTGCTGACTGTGACATGCAACACAAAATGCGAGCTACCTTTAGACTTCATGCCACTGTTCAGACAGCATTTCAAGGCACTGATTGCGTAAGGATGTATGCAACACCCATGAGACAATAAAAAGCTCCCTGAATACAAACAACTACCCAACAATTCTCACCAACGTGGAAGAACAGAGTTAGGGCAAAGGCATGGCAACAGTCAGGGGAAAAGTCCAGATTGCTGCAGCAGTCATCTGCTTGTGAGAAGGAGGTGGCTAGAGACACCAGTGCATACTGTAACACATAAAGGCTAGTACAATTGATACTGACAGCGAGCTACATATTCTTTAAACAAAGCTTTTACATGCCCATCCAAATAGACCAGATTCACATGAGTTCCAACTATACAATTTTCACCTCTCATCACCATCAGAGATGTAAAATCTCTCATCTTCACTCACAGCAGAACAAACCTATTTGATAATGCTATATTGACATCTTAAAAATAAACTATTAATAAGCAATCTTAGTGATACAAACAGAAGGCAATATACTCAATTTCTCTTCAAAACCAACGCTCTAAAAACAGAAAGGTATACATTTGGCTCACTTCTTCAATATCACTTCCCTTCAATTACGTAACCTTATAATTAAAAACACACCATGAGCCATTAAGAAACACAACTTGTGGTTAAAGTTTGTCTAGTTTGCTTACTTTTCATCTGAAGTCGTAGCATCTGAAGCTCAGCTTAATTCCCAATTTTCCTAATTAAGCTGTGCTTAATTCCAGGCTACTACCAATGAAAGAAGGCACATTTTGGCCTTACCCTACCCTTTGCATTGTAGCAAGCAGGAGTTTTGTCACTGATTTTGATGGAGCACAACTGGGCACATGGAGCAAGCTTAGTTAATCTGAGTCTTTTGTTGTTCCACGCTGAGTGGTGACCCTGGTGATTTTAGGTTATGGTCAAGTATAATGATGCTTTCTAGTAAAAAGCAAAGAAAAGTACGGCCCGGGAAAGCAGCATGTCATTGTCCTGCAAATAAATGCCAATAATTGCAAAAATAATCAGAAAAAAATCAGAAAACATAATGAGACACAGAGTTTTGTAGCTAAGATGTGTTTCCCAAGAATAATCAGAGGGTCTTTAAAACGTTTCATAAAACTTCACGGAAGATATGCTACCTGCTGATATGTTCCAGCAAGTATTATTCATTCATTGTACTTATACCATCTCACACAAATCCTGTAGTATTTTTAATGTAGTTTTACCCTTAATGTCTGGCCTTTTTGGTACTTGTTCCCTTTCTCTCTGCAGGGCCTCACCCACTCATGCTCCTTTGTCAACAAAGCAAATATCTAATATTCCCCGTATTTAATACTGGCTCCTTGTACACTAAGGGATTAGCAAGATATCTCTACTACTAGTTTTGAAAGAGCTTCACAAGCCCTTGCATTATCCTCGTCTAATGCAAAAAGTCATCAAGTGATACACACCTCTTCCTGCCTAAATTCTCACCCTCTGAGCAGTGTATGGCTCAACAGCAGGGATATGGGTGACAAGGATCATTAAGCCATGAGCCAGACGCTTTTTCCTTGACATTATCCTTTTCCTGATGAAAAAAATGTTTCCTCTGCCTACCAACTGTATTGGAGGTATTATGCACAGTTATATGTTCTTGGTTTTTCCTTAGAAAAAAGGAAAGTTTCCTTTGTCTCAGAACTGCATCAGGCCAAAGATCGACCTGCCCGGTATCCTATCTCTGACAGTCACCAACTGGCGATGCCTAGGGAAGATGTGATACTTCCCTTCTGTGTTCTTCCAGCTTCCAGTTATTTGCTGTCCATAGAGTTCCTAATCTAAACCTGGTTTCTACGTATCTTGTAACCCTCAACGCATTTATCTTCCACAAGTTTCTAGCCATACTCCCTTAAAAAGCATACAAACACGTCTTCTGGTATCGGGTCTGCCTCCTATTAGCTTCATTTGATGCACCCCAGTTCTCGTTTCGGGAGGAGAAACCAGTAACTCATCCCAGAGCTCCCTCCCTCCGCTGTGCATGATGTCATGGACAGCCTCCCTAGCTCGAACTGCCCGTCTCTGTTAGCCATTCCCACAAATGGAGCCATGCTACACTTCTCATCACTCCTTTCTGTTCTCCTCTGAACCGCCTCCGGTTCCACAAAGCCCTCCTGAATATCAAGCAAAGGGGAAAAAGGCTTGTGCAAAATATCTAAAGGATGGATTTACTTAACGTTCTCTATTCATTTACCAGTAACAGCTCCATTCCATTTAGGTTTACAATTACTAGTGAGCACCCAGCGGATGGGTTCCTGGACCCCTCCGGCATGACAGTAAGATTTCATCCCTGCATGGCGTTGCTTAGCTCGAGACATGTAATTTTACGTGCATCGAGTTGGCTCTTCATTTTTCCTTTAAAAAATGCATTACAAAAGACAGTTATTAATAATGAGATGAAAATCAAGAACAAGCATGCTAAACTTTAAAGTTGTTTATTCAACCCCACAGTACCCACACTAATGGGACGTTAAGTGGGATCAATCTTTCAGACTCTTTACAAAGCCTACGCATACAAGAAGTTGCCAAGGTCAGTAAAAGGGTGAATTTTTTAGTGCACAGACAACCTTTCCAGCAAACTTTCCACCCCATGTGTTTAAGTGCCCAGCTCGTTCCACATCACTACATCCAGTATTGTGAATATATTAAAGGTGACAGCAACCCACAATGCCCCCACTTAGGGGATCTTTAGACTTTCTCCATGACTTGTTCTGTGCAGGGCGTCTCGCTGAGGGCACAGCAGCCCAGACTCCAGACGGCTGCCGTGGGAAAAAGGGTCACTGAGAGACACTCCTCCTTCTGAAGGACGTAACTCGAGCGAGGCGGCTATCAACACTACTCTAAATCACGCCTCAGTTCTGGCTGCTGGGTTTAAAATGCCAAAGATGATACACACAGACCAAACGGGTCTCTTCAGCAAATACAGCTCTTCAACGCACACGTGAATTTTGGTGTGTCAGTCTCCTGTCTTCCCATCACAAGTCTGGGTCTCATCCAAAGAGAACTTTGCTTCACATTGATTTTCAAGCTGAACAATGCCACAGAAATGTCAGGGCACTGGATGGTAACAGAGAGAACAAACTGGTGTCAGACTGTGATTTCCCACTCGCAGCACTGACTTGAATGTAGTTTGGGGTGACCGTTACTGCTCCTTCAACTGCTCTACACTTCCTTTCGAGTGCTTTAAAGAGGATCAACTACTACTGAATCTGAGAGAAGAGGATGTGTTTGCTTGTGCTGGACTAAATCGACTTAAACAGAGCAACAACAACAACAAAAAACCCCACCTAAAGATATTTTCCTATTCTGACAATAAAGGGGTGGAGGTTTGAACCTGGACCGAACCTGTGAACATCAGCTGATCCTGGGGGAACTCAGTCCCCTCTCCACATCAGGACAAGATGTTTGCCTATTCCTTGAGTAAGACGGACTCCCTTCATGCCCCTGCCAAGGCATCCAGATGAAAAAATCAGATGTTAACTTATTTTTTTAACACATCTGTTGTAGCATCAAATTTAGCTGTGGTAGATTTTTTTTGGTTTTGGGTTTTTTTTTCTGTTTTAAATGAAGCTGGACTCTGCAGAAAGGTTCACAGCAACACAAAACTGAGCATTCATTGATGTAGATGTTTTTGTCTACACGAAAACTCTAGTTCAATAGCCAAATGAGCAATTTTTAGCCTAGGAGATCAAAAATACCATTTCCCAACTGTGTAAATATTCTAATGCACGTTGTGCGCAGCTTCTTCAATGTGCCATTTTTTGTTGACATTTTAGGCCGCCAAGTCATTTTTATGCAGCATTGTCATGCATTAAAATAAGCCTGTGTAACACAGACCGATAAACAATCGTCTTCAGATGATTCCATTTAATACCACCTCTGTGGCATTTCCTTCCTTTCCACGTCCAGTCCGGATGGTTGTGCTGGAAAAATAGTCTCGCACCTGTACTGCGTTTTGAGTCACCACTGATGACAGGTTTTAATTCAGGTTCTCGCCTTATATCATCCAACTTAACCTCACCCAGATGAATATCCCAAGCATTTCAAAACAGAGGAATCTTTTGCGCGGGGTTTTGATACCGATGCCCTAGGAAAGCAGCTCCCAAAGGAAGCCTGGAGAATTCCAGACGCCAGCAGGGGGCACCTCAAGCCCGCGGGACCGTAAGAAATCCTTCCCGACCTTGTTTCGCCCGGCAGTTCCAACTCCCTGCTGGGCTTTCTGATCCCAAAGTTGGGAGCAGGTGAAGAGTGCATGTCAGAACGTGACGCCGACACCAACAATTCACTGCGTTTAACTGGATGTAACTGTTTACTGTGTTTTCGTGATAGAACTAAATTTTCCTTTGTATCATCTCTTACATTAAACACCAGCCCAGAACACTTGCCTGAATTCAGACACCGCAGAGCTCCCCTTGACCCTTTTTTTTCTCCAAATGCCAGTAGTATCCAAGAAAACCTGACAGTGACTTACTGCAACATCTAATTCTAAGCCAGTAAAAGATGCAGGATGCTGAAGATGACAAGCACGCTCTTACACCTCCACTTCTGATGCCCCAAACTAAGCATATGATCACAGGGACCTTTCTAAACCTCACCAGTGCCACTGAAAACCTTCAGTAATTAAAAAAAAAAAAATATCATCCAACTCTGACTCTTTCACAGACAGAGCAGCTAATAGTGTTTTAGGAAAGTAGGTATGGCTTTTTATTTTTCTTTGTTCCGAGTTGCATGTCCCTTCATATTCTGTAGCAATAAGACATCCTTATAAGGTTGTTTCACAGCACTAGTCTGAAACGCTGCACTTAACACTAATCATTGTTTTTATCCGTGACCGCAGTAAGAAATTTTAAAAGGGACTACTAATGCAACCCTTCTCCGTATTATGGCTTGTCAGCTATTTTAGGAGAGACTGCTAATGCAAAACTTCTCCGTATTATGGCTTATCTGTACCAAGGCGCGTGGTTTAGAGAGCAGGGACTGCTGGAGACTCCTCTCAAACATCAGACTTTTGCTTATGTCCTTTTTAGGACACAACCTGCTTCTCTCTTAGCAGTTCATGGGGATCAGGAAGGAAAGGTAAAATACTTGGGTACAGAGTACTGGTACAGAGTGGAATTAACAAAAATACCAACAGCCAACTGCTAGACACCAGAAATTATTTCAGTCCCCAAAATTCAAGTATGTGGGCCGTTCACAAGTAACTGCCTGACATTACTCCATAAAATCGTGGCTCCAGGGTAGCTATTTTCGCATGACAAAAATCTCTGTGCATTTCATTTTTTATTGGAGCGTCATCCAGACTCAGCTGCATATGCATAGCACTATGTATGGAATAAAATTAAAAAAAAAGGAAAAACACAGTTGAAGGAAGCTGAAAAACACACGCAGCCCCAAAAACAGGGTTAAAGAAAGCTGGAAAGCACACACAGCCCTCCCTGTCTGTGTGCTACTGCCAGGCAGCACCTGCCTAGAGGCGAGGGCAGGTGGGGCCTGCAACCTGAGCTTGCACATTTGGAACCAGAGCTAGCTGCGTTGCATCTGAGCCGCATTTCTAACAGCAGCTTGAGCTACGTGCGCCAAATCCCCCTCTTCTCCGGGAAGCCTCGCAAACTGGCCTGTAATCTTAAATGCCAGTAGAAACTACCTATGGCAAAAGGTGCTGCTCTCACTCTGCCTCACCCCCTTTGCTGTCCCACCGGCTACCCCGTGCCATGGTCCCACAGCGGTCGCAAGGGCTCCCAGAGAGGTCAGGAGACAGCAAAATTGTGTCCCCTTGTGTCTGAAGAGCTCTCCCCACGTAACTTGTGCTGTTAGGCTGCAGGAAGGCGAGAGCAAACAGGTTTAATCACAAAAACATTGCAAAAGTGAAAAAGGAGAGGGAGAGGAAACTCAAGCGCTCTCACACACACATATCCTCCCCACCCAGAGCATCAGCCCTGGCTCAGAGCCCAAAGGCTGGTGCCACGCTGCCATCGCCACCGAGCTGATTCTCTTCCCGATCCGGCGGGCAAGACTTCGGTTTTCTCTGCTGGCATGTGAGCCAACACAGCTGAGCTGGCAGGCAGGGGAAAGGGAAAAGAGCTAGCTGCGTTTTTGGCTCTTCTGGAGCAAGAATGAAGGAGGAGATGGTAGCAGCAAAAAGCTGTTGAAATGCCAACTGCTCTCAACATACATTCGGCAGCAGCGAGATCCCGAATACCAGTGACACAGTGGATCAAACGTGAAGCTATTAAATCACCATTAAAGCACAACAAGATTAAGCAAGGAAGATTAATCAGGCAGAATTAAGTGGCTGAGATGTGGAGGGTTTTCTCTTTTGCTATTCTTATTTACCCCATTTTTCAAGACTGGAGGGTTATTTTTTCTCTTCCTTTCCATATATGGTTCAGGGCCTAGTGATGACAAACTCCTGAGATGCAGAGAGAGGTTTAAACTGGTGGGGAAAGCATTTTGGGTAAAGTCAGATGGAGAAGTAGCAGACAGTACACGAAAATACAATAGATATTTTCACAAAATGAAATCCTAACATGTGTAAGAAAAATTAACATTTTGTTAGATGCCCACAGACTGATACGAGGCGAGTTCAGAACTCTCTCCCGAAACACTGATGTTTTAGAAAGCCTGCTTTCTCTTGGAGCTTTCCTTTCCATGCAGCCCAAATCCATGTTCCTAAATCACCTCAGAAGGCCCATGCAGCCCAAATCCATGTTCCTAAATCACCTCAGAAGGCCCACACAGCCCAAATCCATGTTCCTAAATCACCTCAGAAGGCTCACTGGCAGGGATGACCAAAGCAGCAGCCGCCACCGTTTACCTGATGAGGACGCACTGGTTGTCATGGCGCTTCCAAAGGCAGCGGTAGCACTCGTTGGCCACGGCGAAGATGTGCGGGGCAATCTCTCCCATGTGGTGCTTGCTGTATCGCTCCATGGCCGCGCCGTCGTACAGTCCCGGGATGCTCTTGTAGGGGTTCACAGAGGCAACGATTGAACCGATGTAGGTCTGCAAGCACACAGATTCCCCCAGAGTCGTTATTACACAGGGGGTGGAACAGATTAACGCTCTATCCACACGGAAGACAACAATTACACTTTCACAAAATCCTGGCTACTATTTTTCCCCACTTTCTCCCTTTTGACAAAAGTAACAGAAAGGCAAAACTTGTTTCCACCTTCCTCCTGTTTCCATGCTTCCCCTCCTTCCAGCACAAAGCTCGCCAGCTACAGGGGCCCCTGCCTTAGTGCCACTTCCAGCTGCACGCTCGCATTACCAGCGCTGGCCTACAGCTGCTTCTCCCACGTTCTTGGTGACTCGCTGAACTTGCCAAAACCTGACTGCAACCACAGATCCCAAGTACTGGTGCAAAAGTCCACACTCCTATGCAGAGCACCCAAGTTCTTTTCTGCCCCTCATTTTTAAAAAAGAAATATCAGACGTTATGGTAGACACTAGCACCATTATATGGTAGCAGGCCCCCTCAAAAAAGGCATGCCAACTGGCAGATGTTCCCAAAACACTGAGTTGCTGCAATTTAATTTACTACTATTTTGAAGCACAATGGCAGCTGACAAAGCATTCATTTCTATCCCACTGCAATTAGAGAGCACATGGGTTAAAACCACCCAAGTAGCAGCTTATGCCCATTCCCAATGCCTTAACTCACCAGGCCGTGGCAGCATGATCGTTTGCAGCGCTCTATTTCACGCTGCTGTTCATTTCTTCAGTCACCCTCTTCAATAAGTTTTTCAAATACAATCAGATCAAGTGCGGTAGGAGATAACACTAAGCAGGTTATCTCCAGAATTTCCAGTACGTTTCTGGGCATGTGAAATTAATTGATGTATCATACGGTGTGTGCAGTGTTACCGCTGCGATACTAATTTCATTTTGTTAGGCACCTTTCGGTGGTTGCAGGCAGGAAGCTGACACCTGGCTTCATCAGCCCTGCCGTGGACTTGCGAAGAGCCGGGCTGTGAAGCCTCCAGCCCCATAAGACGTCCCGGTGTACAGACAGATGCTTCACCAGCAGTCAATCTTCTCATGGCCAACAGGAACCATCGGTGACGTTGACAGCAGGACTGGGGCTCTCCTCACCTCCACAGCACCATACCCAGACAGGGTAAACGCTAGGTAAGGCGAGCAGCATCTTGCATGCCACAGAACAGCAGCCCACATGCCCCCCTGCAGCTGTCCTTTCCTCCGGCAACCCACCCACCGCTGGGGCAACCCACCAAGACCCAGCGACCCTCAGCCCCCCTACACTGTCCTTTCCCCTCTGTCAGTCTCCTCCACAGCACCTACCTCTACCTGTCTCCCTCCCCCTCAATTAATACGTGATTATCGCTGTGTATCGGCTCTCCTTTCTCCCTGATAACCTGCTGTTATGTTCCTCATTATCCACCTGTTCCCCCTCCATCAGACCCAACACAAGTAGCAGCTCCGAGCTTTTGCTAAGCGAAAAACCAGCAGTGTCCTTGAAACGATGACCATTTTATTAGCAGCAAGGGGAATATTCCTCCTCACTGTAACTCAAGTACATTTTACAGAGCTGTGAACTTCCAATCTGTGTGTTTTATAAAACTCCCCATGCTGTGCAGGAGCTCAGAAGGTTTCATCTAGAGGAAAGATACCGTTTCAACACAAGATCGTATCGCAGCGCAATTACAGCACGGAGACAACAGCTTCATTTCCTGGGATCATCCCCTCTTGGGTTCTTAAATAACTAACGAGGAAGTCTCTGATCCTCAGTTTGATACAGAGTTCGGCACAGACTGCAGAGGCAAAATTTTAAGTGGGTTTTTTTTTCATTACATTAATACACTGCAAGCACGACCAACAAAACAGACGGCTACAGACCTCCCTCTTTCCACAGTCTTTATTAAAATGTAAGAAGAGTAACTTGAGGCACACCGTCACAATAGATGCCCTGGCAAAGAAGCAAATAAAGAAAACTCCACGAAACATGGTACCATCTAACTTCAGAACTGTAAACATTCACGCTACATCTTCTGCATGGCAGAGCAACGTCACCGCACTCCCTGACCTTCCTGTGATAAAGCACTGGCAGAACTGCCTCACCCATGGCTACGGCGCAACTTTTCTTGCTTCTGTTATTTTAAACAGAGAAAAAAAGTAGTGTATTATGGCAATAACAGAAACCTGGTGAACAGTAGAAAACAATACTGGCGAAAACAATTCCTAAATCACCTCATGGAGTAACTCACAGGACATGTCACTAACTTTAAAATTGCTTTTCTCTCTTTTTCTTTAGCTAAAACACGAAGAACCATAACCTCTACTGAAACAGCTCTAGTTTTGTGGTTCCAGTCTTCTGGTGTTTTGAGCATGTATCCCCGTCTCTGGAGAACATGTTATGTGCACAAATCGGCACCAAATTATAATAATACAAGAGAGAACAAAGTCAGGTCCTCAAAAACCAGCTTCCTCATCCCAAGGCAAGAACACAAAAAAGCTATGTGCTTCACGGACACAGTGGATCAGATTTATCACCTACCAAGTGTCATAATCCAACCCAGGAGCAGCCACAACTAGATATCTGGCCCAAGTGAAAGTTCCACCTTAACCCAAGGTAGTTCAGCAAGATACTGATGAGCTGAAGCAGCACCGTTATTAAAAACTGTTCCCGTTATTAAAAAAGTTCCCATTAAAAGACAAATCTTCCCAAAGTCTTTGTAAACTTCCCCTGGGATACTCAACAGCAGCAAGATCTGCTGCAAGAATTATTTCCTGCATCACTTTCAGGCTTACTAGTTCTCCCGTTCTGTGAGTACCAAATGCTCTTAGGAGTGGCAGTATGTTTTATACAGCAGATCCCTACTCTCTGCCCCGGCACTTCTAAGAGCCATGACGACAGGGATGCAAGGCACAGCATGACCTGCACCCAGACAGAGAGTAGCATCACCTCCCCACTGCCCTGTCTCTACAAAGGGTAGGGCTCTGCCTTCCCTCCCCTCAGGGACTCCCAGCAACCATCCAACATAACCCCATGCTTGGAGGGCAGACTCTCCACTTTTGCCACAGCAAGTGCCTCGACAGCATGTTAAACCTATGTACAGGTGCACCAAGTAATGCTGGGCTGCTCAGTTAACGAGGCATTGTCCCCTGAACGCTATTTCTGCACCAGGCACCATCATACCATCATTCAGAGGGCTGGAGCACCTCTGCTGTGGGGACAGGCTGAGAGAGTTGGGCTTGTTCAGCCTGGAGAAGAGAAGGCTCCGGGGAGACCTTATAGCAGCCTTCCAGTACCTGAAGGGGCTACAAGGAAGCTGGGGGGACCACGACTTTTTATAAGGGCCTGTAGTGACAGGACAAGGGGTAACGGGTTGAAATTGAAAGCAGGGACAGTCAGATTAGGTATCAGGAAGAAATTCTTCACAGGGAGCCTGGTGAAGCACTGGAACAGGTTGCCCAGAGAAGCTGTGGATGCCCCATCCCTGGAAGTGTTCAAGGCCAGGCTGGATGAGGCTTTGAGCAACCTGGTCTAGTGGAAGGTGTCCCTGCCCATGGCAGGGGGCTTGGAACTAGATGGGCTTTAAGGTTCCTTCCAACCCAAACCATTCTGTGATTCTATGAAATGGCAAATTAAAGCAGTAAACAGTAGTAGGATTTCTAAATTATTTCATTATGCTAACATCACAGGGCAGCTGTATAAATGAAATTTTAGAAAAGGTATTTTCATACAAGAATGTCACTTCCATTTTGCTTAAAATGAAGTGAATTGAATTTTCTCTTTGTTCTTTGCAGTTTCTAATCTGATTCTCAGTCAATAATTATTTATTTTAATGAAAGGACTCCAAAGCAGTGATTACTAGGAAAAATGTTCATACCCCTGCCAGGGCACTGGCAAGTGGACAGCATTTCTGAAGGTTTCCAGTTAAAATAGTTTGAGGGGTGTTTCAGAGAAGTACTGTGTAGAGCTCGTATCACAAGTCTGACTTCTTAATCCATGGCAATGAGCAGGACAGTTAACTTTTTTCTGTTATATGACCAACTCAATCCTTCAGACAGAACCACACACAAGCTCTTGCTTTGTTACAGCAAGAGTAAACGAGAAACAACTTGTTACCAGATCACCACTAATGTATTAATTTAAATCCAAAAATACATGAAAAAATAAATGGAAGCAAGCTATTCAGCCTGAAGCCCAACTCAGCACTGTGATTATCATATTAAAAAGTTGGGCTCGTTTTCCACTTTGAAAGTATTACTGGAATTTTACACTGATAATACATCTCCCAAAACACTTTCGGTCACAAACCACAGAGAATCCTGCTCCCCCTTTTAGCACAAAAAGAGGAAATAAGGTTGTTTGCTGGTCGTCTAAGGGGACTTTCAAAATTAGAAGTTCAAGCGCTGTCTTCTCAGCTAGACATTCAGTAAGGCAATAGCATCGCAAAAGTCAAAATGAAAGATGTACTTGAGAAAGGAAGAGACTTTTCATCAGTTCTCCGAATGCTTTTTTTGTTTTGCTTGTTGCCTTCTGATAGCAATCAGCTTTGAACCTCGTGCCTTGAAATCAACCCAGACTTCTTCAAATACTCAAAAGCAATTAGTTCTTTAAAAAGGTTTAAGAGAGCTCACAAAGATTTCTGATCCCCACAGAAATACCCTAGAAAAACTTGCAATGGTCAGAGTCCAGAAAAACTTGCAATGGTCAGAGTAGTCCTGTCTAACATAAGAGTTTTGTTGGGGGTTTTTTGGGGTTTTTTGTTTGTTTGTTTGTTTTTAAGAAAGACACAATTAGTTTACTGTAGTTTTAATGCTAAAGAAATGCAAATGATGTAAAAAGCTTTATTGGTTAAAATACACTTTTCCAAGTTAGCTTAAAATTGCAAGAAGCAAGCTTAAAATTGCAAGAAGCAAGAACTAAATACAGTTTGAAAGGTCTGTCCTTCCCGCGTCAAATAGGCTTTCGGTCTAATAGAGGAAAAAGTGGAGTAAGAAATTTCCACTTCAAAATTTTTTTCAGATTCTTTACA